GAGCTTGGTTTCAGCCCAGTTCCCAGCATGGACCCTAAACCATCCTGATAATAATTGTGCATTTTTATCTTTTGCAAGTATGAATGTCCCTTAGGCCTAATCAAGTTTAACTCTTTAATTGTATAAGAGGTGTGCCATTAAATCACTCATGGCCTCACCAATATTATAACTAGATATTAAGAATGAATATTCATAGAAAAGCCTTTAGGCGCGTTGAATATATTATTGTGATTGTGTACACGTTCGCGTGACATAATTACGATTCTAAAAATCAATTCGGAGTATGCGTTCGCGCAACTTCGACCAACTTTCTCAATAATAATAAATTTATTATTAATATAGTCCTCGTTAATTAAATGTAGTTCTTTTAGGCCGAGCTGTGCTGTTCATAATTGAATCCCTATGGCCCTCGTATTAATTTTATAACTTAGATATTAAAAATGATATTCGTAGTTTGCTTTAGGCACGTTTAATATACCATTGTGGTTGTGTACACGTTTGCGTGACATAATTACGATTCTAAAAACAAAACCGGAGTATGCGTTCGCGCAATTTTGGCCAAACTTTCTTAAATATAATAAAGCGTTATTAATTGTGGACACGTTCGCGTGACATGATTTTTGACGCGCCAAACAAAAATGAGTACACGTACGCGTGACTCGATTCAAGATAATTTCTTAATTAAAAGAGGCTAATGCACATAGGTTCTAAAAATAAGTAATTAAGAAATTTAATTGAGCCAGGCATGATCAAAGCGACTGTGCTAGAACCACGGAACTCGGGAGTGCCTAACACCTTTTCCCGGGTTAACAGAATTCCTTACCCGGATTTCTGTGTTTCACAGACATTAAACCAGAGTCAAATCTCCTCGATTCGGGATTCTAAATCGGTGACTTGGGACACCATAAACTATCCCAAGTGGCGACTCTGATCTTAAATAATAATCCCATTTCGATTGTCACTTAAATTGGAAAAACTCCCTTTTAGCCCTTTCCGGGGGTAGTAAAAAGGAGGTGTGACAGCACCCTGCCTCCAAAATAAGGGCCAACGGATCTCTCTGGTCTACGAGGCCTCCCCGCCTCCCTGTACTCTCTCTCTCCTGATCTCGTCTGTCCTCTCGCTCCCGGTCCCACATGCCCTCTAACCGGCGAGCGATCCCTACCACCTGCTGGAACGAAACGTCTGACTCCAACTCTCGAACCATGCTGAACCGAATATCATATCTGAGCCTCTCAATGAATCTACAGACTCGCCCTCTAACTGTAGCGACCAAGGAAGGTGCATGTCTGGTCAAATCACTGAATCTGGCGACATAATCTAATACTGACACGGTGCTCTGACGCGGCTGCTAAAACTCCGCGTGCCATGTACCCCGAAGCGGCTGAGGTACAAACTCTCTCAAAACATCTCTAAAAACTGAACCCATGTAAGTGAACCTGCATTGGCCGGTTACCCAACTCATATGCCCGCCACCGCTGATAAGTCGCTCCCTTAAGTTGGAGCATAGTAATAGCAACCCCACTCGTCTCAACAATACCCATAGTACGGAGAATGCGATGGCACTCCTCAATAAACCCCGTGCGCTCTCTGAAGCCCAATCACTGAATGTGGGAGGATCATAGTCTTTGAACCTTGCAAATCTAAATTGCCCTTCCTCAAATGATGCTGCCCCGACTATGAGCTGAACTGGGACCACAGGCTGTGTTGCCGTGACACCTGGAACCTGACCAACGTGAACTCGCTACTCTGGAATGTGGTCTAGCTGCGGCATGTACTCCTCGTCGGCCTCTACCTCTGCCTCTAGCCACACCTGCTTCGGGAGTAGCGTCATCGATAACCGCAGCTCGTGTCCTCACCGTCGGTGAGAGAATGGAAAGATAGAAGTTCAAACTCCTAGATCAATAAGCTCGCACGATAGGAATGAAGGAAGTGAGATTGTCCTATAAATTCCGTAGCCTCTCGAATATAAGTACAGACGTCTCCGTAGCGATCTGCAAGACTCTACTAAACTCGCTTATGACTCGTAGCACCTATGAGCCTAGTGCTCTAATACCAACTTGTCACGACCCAACTTTCCCTCCGTTTGGGTATCGTGATGGGACATAGTCTTAGGGACTAGGTAAGCCTAACTCATACTGAAATACCACAATAATAAATGAAATTTAACAGTCTTGAAGCAGAAATCTCTACAAATTTATAATTCCCAAAACCCGGTAGTACAAGTCATAAGCTCTACAGAGTTTCGCTAAAACTTCTAAACACAATCGTATGGAAATAATTACAACAGTGTGAATATAAAATAGGAAGGTGACTCCGAAGCCTGCGAACGCAGTAGCAGGGCTACCTTGAGTCTCCTCGGCAAGAATCCGCACAGCTACCATCGAACAATACCTGGATCTCACAAAAAAATATGCAGAAGTGTAGTTTGAGCACACCACAGCTGTGCCCAGTAAGTATCAAGACTAACCTCGGTGGAGTAGTGACGAGGAACAGTCAAGACACTCACTGGTCTAATAAGCAGAACAAGTATAAGTATAGAAATAACCGAACATGATATCTATATAAAGACTAAGCGATATTGCAAACAATATAGTAACTACAATAAGGATATTAAATAGCAAGTAACAGCGGAACACCATGATGAAGCACATAAAAGTGAACGGAAATACAACCCAAATTCGAAATCACAAATACAGTAAGGACAATTCATAACTCAGCAACTACATCAGTTTTTTACGTTAGGTCATAGCCAACCACTCCAATCAATTAGTCAAATCTTTCAGTTGATAAAAAATTTCGAAATATACTTCCTTCAAGCAAATATTTTTCCAAAATAGTTCTCTAAAATTGAATACCTTTCGATTATAACCCTTTCAAATAAATATCATTCGAATATAAGTCACCCTGTGACACCTCATCTCATAAACATACAATACGGGTCTCAATACCTGAACCCTAACACTTGGCATCATGTGCCCTCATCACACCTCCTAATCATACTAACAACTCACATGCCCAAAAGAGTCATTCTCACATGGAAGGCAAATAAACAAGGGTGTGCATCTATACTCAGCAATCTCAAGGATCCTCCTATCCGGTAAGGGTGCTTAGCCACGTTTATGCTTGTGCAAGTGTCCTAACATAGTTCATACCAGCAAGTAAGCATAAGGACAAGAACGGACAACACATATACTGTTTACATAGTGTTTACACAGGGATGGGATCAATAAAAATAACAGCTCAGAACACAGTGATAATAACAGGGTATCTCCCAGGATACCGTCCCGTAGTCCCAAACGTAAATGTACAGAGGATCTCCCGGGATACCGTCCCATAGTCCAAATCATAAATTTGCAGGGGATCTTCCGGAGTACCGTTTCGTACTCCCAAAGTAAATATCCAGTACAGGGGATCTCCCAGGATACCATCCCGTTGTCCCAAACATAAATGTGCAGGGGGATCTCCCAGAATACCGTTCCGTAATCCAAAAGTAAATATGCAGAACAGGGGACCTTCCGTGACACAGTCCCGTAGTCCTAAACGTAAATGTGCAGGGGAATCTCCTGGAATACCTTTTCGTAGTCCCAAAGTAAATATGCAGAACAGGGGGATCTTTCGGGATACCGTCCCATAGTCCCAAACGTAAAAGTGCTGTACAGGGGGATCTCCCGGGATACCGTCCCGTAGTCCCAAACATAGATGTTCAGGGGGATCTCCCGGAATACCGTTCCGTAGTACCAAAGTAAATATGCAGCGCAACCAAAGAGAATACAACACGGCAGAATACTCGTATATCACAACAACACGTACAACAACAACAATGACGATAATTCAAGGTATGGCAAGTAAGTCAACTCAAGAAATGTAAATCACGAAGAAACGGTAGGACCAGCTCACAAGGAATAACCAAACAAAAGAATGCTGGCATATTAGGAACAGTTCAACAAAGGGAAAACTAACATGTAGGAACGATCCTGCAATACACAAGTCAATAACAAGGGAATCAACACGAGTCAAGTAGTCCCAAATAAAGGCAAGTCAACACAAGTATGGGTTATCTAAACTCCTTTTTTTAAGGTTTAACAAATACGAGGATATCCGACAATTTAATAAAGGAAAGATGATCTTAGCTTCACTTAAGAATAAACAATTATAGGAGGAGATGATGATAAATTCTAAATTAAGACAAGTAGCTACGAAAAGATAACATGACAATAGGAGAAGCGAAATTCTTCAGTTAAGTCAAATAGGAGTCGATTAGGCAATAAGAGTGAATCATGAAGCAATTAATTCCAATTAAGCATGTAGAGGTGAAACTAGTAAATAGGAAACTCAGTCATGTCAAGAACACATTCATACATGGTGAATATAAAGACCTAAGAACCCTAAAAGGCCAATTTTTCCACAAATAAGTCCGAGCACGCACTCGTCACCTCGCGTACACAAACTACAAGCAACATAGAAGACTTAAATCCTAAGGGGAAGTCCCCCACACAAGGTTAGGCAAGATACTTACCTCAAAGACGACAAACCGATACTCTAAAATGCACTTCTCGGGTTAAAAGATCTCCGGACGGCTCCAATCCAACAAAATTAACTTCAACGCACAAATAAAACACATAGGAAACCATTTCGGATCATAAAGTCTCAATCTTTAAGAAAATTCAAAAATCGGCCCCAAAGTCGACCCCCGGGCCCGCACCGCGGAACCTGACAAATTTTACAAAATCCGAATACCCATTCCAATATGATTTCAACCATACAAAAATTATAAAATTGCGATACCATTTTGTCCCTCATATCACGATTTTTTATTTTGGAAATTTTCTTTCAAAACAAACATTTTCCTCAACTCAAAACACAAATTAAATGATGAAAATGAAGATAAAATCATGGAATAGGTTAGATTCTAGGTGAAGAATACTTACCCAATCGTTTTGCTTGAAAAACCCCAAAAGAAGCTCCCAAATCCGAAGTTTAAAACTCAAATTATGAAGGAAATGGCCAAAACCCTCGACTTATATGATTCTGCCAGGACTTCCGCACCTGCGACCAACTTAACCGCATCTGCACAATCGCAGGTGCGCCTGACCAATCGCACCTACGCTCCACTCCGCTCTTGCGCCTAGGGATCCGCTCCTGCTTCACCGCACGTGCGTTCCAATTCTCTGCATTCGCGGAGACTGCCCAGGCCAACTCCTCTCACACCTGCGCTTCCTCCTTCACACCTGCGCCTAGGCCCGCAGGTGCGATTACACCAGAACTCAGCCTCCCCAAAACCATGAAAAATTATCCGCAACTTGTCCGAAACACAATCGGGGCCCTCGGGACCCCGTCCAAGCATATCAACAAGTCATATAACCTTATACGGACTCACTCGAGGTCTCAAATCACATCAAACAACGTCTAAACGACGAATCACACCATGAATCGAACTTAGGAACTTTCAAATCTTTCAACTTCCAAAACTCGCGCCGAAACCTATCAAATTAACCCGGAATGACGCCAAATTTTGCAGACAAGTCCAAAATGATATAACTGAGCAGCTCCAAATCTCGGAATCGCATTCCGACCCCAATATCACAAAAGTCAACTATGGGTCAAACTTCTCCATTTTCCGAACTTCAACTTTTCGAGCTTTCGCCGAAATGCCTCAAATTATCCTGCGGACCTCCAAATCTGAATCCGGACACGCGCCTAAGTCCAAAATCACCACACGAAGCTGTTGAGATCACCCAAAACTTATTCCGGAGCCGTTTACACAAAAGTCACATTCTGGTCAAATTCTCACCGCTTAAGCTTCCAAAACTAGATTCATTCTTCCAATTCGGTTCTGAATCATACGGTAACTGAATTCAACCATGCACGCAAGTCGATACACATAATATGAAGTTGTTCAAGACGTTATGCCGTAGGACAGAGCTTAAATTCTGAAAACGACCGGCCGGGTCGCTACAATACCCCAAAAACACCAAAAACCCAATAATTTTTAATCGTAACAACGTAAGAAAACTGATAAGATGTATACTTCATGGGCATCAGATTTGGAACGAAATTCTCATTTCAATTCTTGTTCTTCCAACTGATAAGAGTCTTGGAATTTCTTCGTTTGTTATAATGTTCAAACTTTTATCGGTCTTTTTTCCCATCATATTTTTTTCTTGTGATGATTATTCCATCTTTTATTTGCCAAATATGTCGATGCGAAAACACTTCTATTCTTTTTCTAGATTGCGTGAAATTCCATCTACAATAATCATTCTATTAAAATGTCTTCCTCAAACTTACCACTACCTAATTACTTTTTAGTTTTATTAAAAGATCGTAACAGAGAAATTTTAAGTCATGGCAGGGTTATTTAATTATTTAGAGATTGATCACCACAATTACTCTTCCATTTCAATTATGTGAACTTTTTCGCTATTTGAAAGTTTTAACGAAGCTAAGTTGGATTAAATTAATTCAATATTTTTTTTAAAGTATTTTGATATTCAAAAACAATATGAAAAGTAGTGTATGATGTATTTCTTCTTTTATCAATACAATGAAAAAATACATTTAAATCTATTGGTCAAAATTTATATAATTTGAATCTCGAAAAGCAATAAGATTCACATAAAACTAAAACGGAGGGAGTACTAACGGCTCCCTCCAAGGTGCCCACCGTGACTCCAAACATTTCATTCCTTCCATTTCAATTTATGCAATCGTTTTTTCCTTTTTGTCTATGCAAAAGAATGACCCTTATTTATATTTGAAATAATTTATTTTTATGCAATAATTTATAGTCACACAAAATATATGTGTCTCATTTTACGTACACCATAAGTTTAATTTTTTTTTTTCTTAGACTCCATATCCTGTCAAATTGAAACGGAGGGGTTCATACTCCTACGTCAAAAAGACAGTGACTTGCTGGCTTGTCGTTGTGTATAATAGAAGATTAAGACTTCATATCCGGTCAAATTGAACGGAGGGTTTCATACTCCTACGTCAAAAAGACAGTGACTTGCTGGCTTGTCGTTGTGTATAATAGAAGAACTAAGTAAACTCTTTGTATGTCATAATAATGACCTTCAAGTGCAGATAGCAGCAATTTCTGACCTGATGTGCAGTCAAAACTCGTGAAAATACTAACCATGTTGACACGTTACAAATTATATCGTCAGCTCAACCTCCGAGTTGCTTCTTTCGTCAATGTCAGTAAATTAATTCTTGTTATCAGATTATGAATTCAAGAAAGACGACGAATAGGATATATTTACTTGTCGATACTAATAGAGGTAGTAAAGGAATTATAAAAATCCAATCGAATCTATAGAACAAAATTATTTACCCTAAAAACAGATAACAATTGAATTTATATGTGGTTTCAAGGATATGTGAATTAATTCTATACAAATGATTAATGGCGTTAGATTAAGCAAATGAAAGACGTAATAAATACCGAAACCAGTGGTAAGAGTGATTCCGGGCTCGATTACTTGCTCAATGAAGAACCTGCTTTCGATCCCGAGCTTACCCTTATAAAGAACTTATGAACAAAAATAAGAACTTTGATTAACAGAGGGATAGAGATAAATTGCCTTGATATGCGTATTACAATGTGTCTAATGAATAGTTAGTTTCCCCTTTATATAGTAGAGAAGTTTTATCATAAGTATAATTCTAAGAACGGTAAAAATCTTTCGTTTCGCTAATAACTGATTTTCTGCTGATACAGGCCGAGATTTACGCCGTGATACCCGGTTGGACACGGATATCACCGCCATTCGTTAGTCGTGTGCAGCCGTTTGATGATGTTCCCTAAAGTCTTAAGACTTGAACCGGGCCTGCAGGACGTGGTCCCGATGCCTCCGTAGGCAGGTGCTTTGCTCAAACCCCGATACAAGGGACCCCTCGCCCGGATACAGATTCCTTACGATCACGTCCCTACTCCGTTTGCCTTACCGGGAAACTGAGTATTCAACGGGCTAGGTTTTACTCGTATATAGATAGTCCCCTCATTTCTTAGAGAGTAGGTTTACAAAAACGATGAGAAATGACATATGCCTTTCGATTCCTTCCTTAATACGCCGACAGAAACGACAAAGAAGTCGAAACGTCCCGTCAGTCGTATCGTTCTGACATCGAACACGTGTCAGTCATCGGCAGGTCACCTCTCAATGCAATGAGACACGAAATCTCTATAAAAGCTTCCATCCTTCGTTCATTTTTTACCTTTTGACCAAGCTTCTACCTTCGAGTTTTCAAGCTATTATTACTTCAAACTTCCATATCTTTACCCCTGCCCTTCAAAATTTCTCAGTAATTTCTAGGTTTTTGCCTATATTTTCTATAAATCATTAATCCTTGTTCTTCATCATCAAAACCCGTTTTTCATAAACTTTAAATTCTTTCCCCACATTTTCAAACACTCCCTCGAATGACAATTACAAAATATCGAAGACCATCCCCCAACAAGTTGTCTCTTCGTCTTCTCAACCGGCCGCTGGTACTGAAGCGGTTGCCCCAAAAGTGGTTGCTAATGAGTCGGTCGTCGAGCCTCCCTTGACAACGTTCATTCCTACTGGCTTCTCAATTGCAGATGACATTAAAGTCGAGAAGCCTTCACCCAAACAAGATAGGGGTGAAGGAGTCTCGAGGTACGTATGCTCCGTGACCGAAGAAGTTCTGCCCATAGTTCGAAAGGACTACAATTCGGAGGATAAGGACGTAGTAGTTGTAAGGCTCCCGAAAAATTTCGCTAAGGAAGTTAAGGTTTGGTGGTGCCGAGTTAGGTTAAAGTGTTCAGAAGAAATAAATTAATCTTCGCGACGAGCAAGGACTTTTTGGGTCGAAGAATGCACTGGATTGTTGATGAAAATATTTGGAAGAAGAAGGCAATTCTGCGGTCAGTTTCGCGACTGCAAAACAGATTCACGGGGCGCACAAGTGCCGCGGAGTGAAGCAAAAAATGAGCCAAGTATTAGGACCATTATGCGGTCAATTATGCGATCGCAGAATCTTTTCGCGGATCGCACTATGCATCGCAAAAAAGAATGGTGATTTCCGGAGGGCAGTTCTGTGTTGCATTATGCGACTGCAGAATAGGCCTGCGGTCCATTTTTGCGACAGCAGAACAGGTCTGTGGGCCGCAGACATGCGACAGATCTAACCTGAAACATCTCAGTTTTTTAGCACCATTTTTGCGGTCCATTTTGCGGACTGCATATCTGTTATGCGGTCCATTCTGCGACCGCACACTTGAGTTCAGAGGGTCCATTTTCCTATTCTTATAACCAAACTCCATTTTGATAAATAGCCTTAGGGGCTCATTTTGAAGCGGGTTTCTGATAATTTTAGAGAGAGGTAAGAGCATTTTTGAGAGAGAAGGAGAAAATCTAACATTCTAATCATCCAATCATGCACCAATCTTCAAGAATCAAGGAAGCCAACCCCTAGTTTATCATCTATCCTGGTAAGTCCTACTCCTAAACATTCATGCAAGAGGTTATAAGTCCAAGTATATATTGTGAGGATGGAAATAGGCCATGAATATGACACTAGGTTGTAGCATGTGGGGTTAATGAACCATTTTTGTAGTTTCTTGTCGAAATTTGTTGAAGGAGGAAGGAGTTTCCATTTTAGAGCCTTGTAGTCTATTTTGCGTGATAGGTGTTTGACAAAATTCCTAGGAGAGTTACACCATGGGAATATTTCTAACTATTAACCGATTTTCACTATCTTCCTATAGGTTGTTATTGCTAGAAGTGTTGGGGCATTGTAGTAACTTAAGGTGAGCTCAAACAAGGTATGTTGGCTAAACTTTCTCTCTTAGAATCGAATTCCATGATGCTCCCGTAAGTTTCAAGTATGGTTGGCTCAAGTTCCTAATTCCTATATCTCGAGTTATCCTTTATAAACTTGACTATTTCGAATGATTCTTGTGTCGAAAGATATATGTTCAAAGTATGGGTTACACATTAAAATTTATGGCTTTGAGTCGTGTTTCAAATGAAAGCTAGTGTGCCAAATCAAGTGACAAAATCTCGATGTTCTTAAGACTCTTAATTGCCCATATGTGTACCTAAAGTCTTGATTGGAAATGTCTTATTGTTGATAATCTATAAAGATGCTTGAAAATCAAATAAGTAAATTGGGGATATAGAGTGTGGCCAACGTGCCAAGAATTTAAGTTATAATTATGGCTCGTGGTGCCATTGAAACGAGAGGGTGTGAGGAAGATTATGAAATGAGCCACGACTCAACTGTGTAAAAATGATTTCAAAAATAGATTCGCCTAAAAGCTTGTGTACACAATTCATGCCCACAAGTGGCTGATTTTACTAATGCTTTGCTTTATAAATATATCCGATGTGATTCGAGTTCTAACATACTCAGGTGTTGAAATTGTACATTACCGTTTTTGGGAAAGAATATTTCAAGAATAAATGGTGCATTGCTTGTTTATGATTTTGATGTGTGTTTCTATTGCGGGTTGGTGTGCCCCATTCTTTGGAAAGAGACCTTTTGTGTTTTAAAGTTTCCATGCCTAGCCACATTTGGCCACATTGGTCATTTTGCAAAATAGGGATATTTTCTCAAAGTGGCTTGTTATCCTATGCCTTAGAGCCCTAAGTCCACAATAAGTTGTCCTATCAGTTTTAAGGTCCATTCCTGTTGAATTGCATGTCTAGCTACTTTTGGCCACATCGGTCATTCTTGCAAAATGGGGTCATTTTCGCAAAAGTGGTTCAATGACCCATGTCTTAGGATCTTGAGTCCACAACTAGGTGTCATATTACATTAAGGTCCATCCTTTTTGAGTTTGCATCTTTAGCCACTTCTGGCCATATCAGTCATTTTTGCAAAATTGGCCATTTCTGCAAATTAATTTTGGGCCATGATTGTTGGGAGTTTGAATCCATATAAGCTTTAGTGAGTTATTTCCATGTCTTTGAGGTCACCTTTTTTGAGTTTGCGCTAATAGCCAAGTAGGTTAATTTTCAAAAATAGCCCAATCGTGTCTTGCCTGTGTCCAATAGGAGGTGTTGTGGCGTCGCATAGTGTCTCGAGTCACTAACTCTATTTTATCTTATTTTTCTCATTCAGGTGTGGATCAGTGTACCAGAGCTCGAGCATGACAAATACCCCGGGACCATCACACTTGAGAGCTTGTTTGAAGAGACTTTTTATATTTTGAGTCTGTTTTCATGTTTTCTTTACTTTCTTGTCTTGTCTAGTAATTTTGAGTCTTTTAGGTGGTGTAAGAGTTTGCCGAGTCTTTTGTCATCGTACTTCCCATTTGTATTTGAAAAAAAATAGTTATAAATGAAAATCCAAAAAGATTTTTATTTTTTAGTTTATTTCGTCCATTACTTTTTCAGAATTACACTTGGTCTGATTCATGTGGAACATGATATGTAGGCAACCTACATAGGGTTCGATTGAATCATTATTAAAAAAAAGAAAAAAAAGAAGAGAATGAAGTTGTGGGACGTGAGGGGTGAGAGAAAGAAAATAGTGACAATTAGAAAGAAAAGAGAGGAAGGAAAATGAGCAAGCCAAGAAGTGCTAGAAAAGAAAGAAAAGAGAAGACTGAAATAAAAAAAATTGGGATGATGCTAAATGACCTTGTGACCCTCGAAGTCATTCTAGAACCGTTAGTTGTTGATAGGGGCAATGAACGCAATGTGATATTTCTATCTGATAAATGCCCTAACGCTAACATGTTGGCTTTGTTTTGCTCCTCTTTGTTACTGTCATTGTTATCATAATAGAGGGTGGTTAGTTTGTGGCACTTTGGCGATTCGTCCATACAACACAAGGTCAGAGAGCAAGGTAGCCATGGCTAGCAATGACTTGGACAGGTGATGTTTATTCGTCTAAGGAGATTGTTGAATCAGAATCTGAGTTGAAAGAAGAGGTCCTAAGGTTGAAAGGACAGATGGCCGAAATATACCAAGCCTGGATTAGTGGGCGTCCTCCACCATTATTTCCCACTAACTACGCTGAAAGCCTCGTAACCATTCCGCCACTGTCACAATTCCAGATTTCCACCGCTGCTGATATCTCCCCACAACCTTTTCACACTCCACCCCACAAAACCACCTCATATCCCGCTCCTTTGACCACACATGTTTCTGTAGCTCCTCCACCAGCTACTCTTCCTCGATCCTCTAGCGAGACTGTGTTCAAAGTCCCCGGTGCCCAACACTATGCTCCAGAACCAACTTTCAAGGCCTCAGATCCATACTCTTACGCTCCTCATTTTGAGCCTCCCGGTGAAACTAAAAAGCATGCTAAGATAGTAGAGCAAGATGAGATATCCAGGAAGGTGAAAATCTTAGAGCAGTCTTTAAGAAATGTGCAAGGGATAGGGAGCTAGGTGAGCGTGTCTTACGAAGATTTGTGCTTGTTTCCTAACGTCCAACTGCCTGCTGGGTTTAAGATGCCAAAATTTAATTTGTACGGTGGACATGGAGATCCCGTGGCCCATTTGAGAGGCTACTGTAGTAAGATGAGAGGTGCCGGTAGAAAGGACAAATTATTGATGGCGTATTTTAGTCAGAGTCTGAGTGGGGAATATCTGGAGTGGTACACCCGCCAGGATGCTAGCAGGTGGTACACATGGGATTATATGGCTCAGGCTTTTTCCCGGCATTTTCTGTACATTATAGAAATTGTCCCAGATCGCATGTCCCTCAGCAAGATGGAAAAGAGGCCTAATGAAAGCTTTAGGGAATACGGGCTCAGATGGAAAGAGCAAGTTGCCTGAGTCAATCCCTCGATGGAAGAAGCCGAGATGGTTGATTACTTTCTTCAAGCTCAAGAGCCTACTTACTTTGGGCATTTGATCTCGGCTGTGGGTAAGCCTTTTAATTATGTGGTAAAAATGAGAGAAATGGTAAAAGATGGGTTGAAGTCAAGCAAGATCATGAGCTATTCTGCTTTAAAAACCACAACACAAGCAATTCAGAACGACATGGGAAGCTTGTTGGGTCAAAAGGAACATGATGATGTTGCCATGGTTGTCTCAGGATCACAACATGGCCCAACGGTTCCACCTCACCAATATACTCAGCCTCGACCCCGACCCCAAGCCCAAACCTATCCCCGAGCTCCACATAATCCACCTCGGTATTATCCTCCGAACAACGTCAAGTCATTTGTTCAACCACTGGGTCACTCTTTATGGCGAGCACCAGCACCGCATAATACTCTTTCGCCTTCACAACATTTTCGTGCACCCAACAACCCTAGGAAACAGGGGCATAGAGGGGAACAAAGGCAAAGAAATAGTTTCACGCCAATCGAAGAAATCCTACACAAGCTTGTTTGAAATGTTAAAACAGTCTAGCCTGAATGAGCCGCTCCTCGGCTGTACTCCGGACCCATATGCAAAAGGTTTTGATCCTACTGTAAGGTGCATGTACCACTCTAATGTCCAAGGGCATAGCATTGAAGATTGTCGTGCTTTCAAAAGGGAGATAGAAAGAATGATTCAAGAAGGGATAATTGTGGTCCATGACAGTGACACCCAGCATATCGCGCAGAATCCTTTACCTGAACATGATGATGCACACTTTGTGGGGAAGATGTGTGGTGATAGGGAGTATGAGAATCTTCTTGGGAACTTGCTGACTGAATTTAATGATATTGAAATTGGTGAAGGTCCCAGTAATTTTGATGTGCAACCCAATAGCTAAGATGTCGAGCTTAGTAATTAGAAACACACTCCTTTCTTGGCTAGCCAGGGAGGAGTTTTGGTGGATTATTTTGTTGTCATTTTTGTTTTCCGGGTTATTTCAGGGTTGTAATTCGGATATTATCTTGTGGCTCAAACCCTTCTTCTTCTTATTTTGCCTAGTTCGTTTAGTTGTAGTAATTCGTCTAGTGTTATCTAGGATTGTTCCACGGTTGTAACCTATGTCTATTTTGGTTATTTTGTTCAAACCCTTTTCACCGTCTGTCTAATGTAATCTCCTGTTTTCTGTTAATTCTAGTCAGTTTTTGTTTGGGTCACTTTTCCTTTTATAGTTCTTTTCATGCTGACTCTAGTGACATGACATGCACGCATAATTCTCAGCCTAGTCTTGAAAGTTAGTTTAATCATGAAGCAGTGACATAGTTTTGAATATGATAAAAGGATGTACTTGAGGAAACAAGTAAAGATTCACGCATTCTGAGATAACATAAAGCTTGAATTGAGTGAAACTGAGGCAGTTAGCCTGGGAAATCAAGAGGTTGATAAGAGCATATAAAAAGGGAATGTCTCTCAAGTAGCTTGAGGTAGATCAGTCAGTGTTGAAATGCATTCTTCCACATCAAGTTAAGGTTGAGTCAAGTCTGCTTCGAACTGGCAAGGATCATTCATTGGGACAAAGGTATTGCCCGTCGGCACTTTCTGTTTGTGTTGATGCCATCAATAGATACTATGTATGATTCCTTTGCTTATCTTCAATTTCATGTTTATACTTGGATTTCTCAAGGTTTGGTATGATGAAGGCATTTTGTTCTGCTACCCAAACACTTTCATTCTTTGTTACCCCTTTTGAGCCTTATTTACATTCTTTCATACCCCTCTTTTGGAATCAGAAGTAGAGTTAGAAAATAAAAGAAAAAAAATAGAAAAGAAAAAGAAAAAAGAAGAAGAAGGAAAGAAATAGAAAAGAAAAAAAATTAAAAAAAAAAGTAAAAGAAAAAAAAGAAGAAGAAAAAGAAGGGGAAAAGAGGAAAAGAAAAACAACAAAGTAAACCAACTTTGTGTTGGAACTACGTTCGACCTGATTCCTTTTAAGGATACGTAGGCAGCCTTACTATGAGGTTCGGTCCCATCAAAGCAAAAATCCAAAAATAAAATAAAACAAAATAAAATTCCCCAAACTCCAAGAAACTAGGGCAGAAGTTTTAATTTGGCCAAAAGATCTGATTCTAAAAGTTGTAGTTTTGAACCCTTTCATCTTAAATTATTTTGAGCCTTCATACCACCCTTTCTTTCCAACCCTGTCCAAAAGCCTACATTACGGTCCAAAGAAAGACCTTCCGACCAATCTTTGAGGATGCTAAATAAACTATATGGTAAATGTATGATCTTCTTGTATCATTGGTAATACCTTGTTCTCAGCACAAAGAGAGAAAATGATAAAATGAGAGAGTCTTATCGGAGAAAACCCTCATGGGCACCGTAAGGCGACGGTGAGTTCAGAAAAAGAGCAAAATGAGAGTGGCTTGATGGTGAAAACCCTTCAGGGCACTACAAGTCGACTGAGGATTGTGGATCAAATAGGACAATTGGAGCGCTGAAGCCTAGTTTCACAACTTAGAGGCGTAACAAGAGTTGAAGATTGGACTCGCTTGACAGATCAGGCCGCTTAATCCAAAATGCATGTCATGATCTAGCTGGCCTTCAAATCAGATTAGTTTCCACTTTGTTCATTTCCTGAGTAAAAAATTTTCTTGTTAGACACCATCTCTTCTCGTTTTCTCCTTACTTTGTTCCTCTTGTTTTGTTGGAGTCCCTTTTGAGTCTATTTGTGTCGAAACAAGTGAGAAATGACTTCAAAATATGCTACCGACTTTTTAATCACAAAGCATAATCTGGCAAGCACGTCAAATTGGCATAAGACACAGGAGAATAGTGTGTGCACTGAGTTGGTGCTAATAGATGTTCTTTGTGATTGATGTAAAAAGATTTGGGACTGTTAGAACACGAGTGCAATGTACCAGGCATAAGGTATTAGACATGAACGAATCATGAATATTTCTTGTGATAAGGGTTCAGAAAAATGGTTGACCGATAACAAGCACTGTCTCCCAAGTTGATCATGACAAGTGCAAGAGAAATCACCCTCGTAGTCAAGGCCACAAACTAACCACCATGTTTTAAACTCACAAGTTTTCTTTGTCTGAAACAGGGATGAAGGCTATGTTCATAATAAAGCTTGGAAGCTTGAATTTTTCAGGTGTAATGCTCCAATTCTGCTGAGAAGATCACTCATCACCCCGAGGAGATGCACTTCCTAGTCTGGGTCTTTAAGGTTATACTTTTGTTTTAGGAGACGCACTTCCTAAATTGGGATTTTACCCCTAGGAGACGCACTTCCTAGTTTTGGGTCATTTAAGTTCATTCCTCGGAGACGCACTTCCTAGTCTGGGTCTTTCAGGTTTTATTTTTTATTTAGGAGACGCACTTCCTAAATTGAGATTTCACCCTTAGGAGACGCACTTCCTAGTTTGGGTCATTTAAGTTCAGCCCTAGGAGATGCACTTCCTAGTTTGGTTAATTCAAGTTTCACCCCGAGGAGACGCACTTCCTAGTCTGGGTTTTTCAGGATATACTTTTAGGAGAAGCACTTCATAAATTGAGATTTCATCCCTAGGAAACGCACTTCCTAGTTTGGGTCATTTAAGTTCATCCCTAGGAGATGCACTTCCTAGTTTGGTTAATTCAAGTTTCACCCCTTGGAGATGCACTTCCTAGTCTGGGTTTTTCAGGATATACTTTTAGGAGACGCACTTCCTAAATTGAGATTTCACCCCTAGGAGACACACTTCCTAGTTTGGGTCATTTAAGTTCAGCCCTAGGAGACGCACTTCCTAGTTTTGGCTCATTCAAGTTTCACCCCTTGGAGAAGCACTTCCTAGTCTGGATCTTCAGGTTATATTTTTGTTTTAGGAGATGCACTTCCTAAATTGAGATTTTACCTCTAGGAGATGCACTTCCTAGTCTGGGTCTTTCAGGTTATATTTTTTTAGGAGACGCACTTCCTAAATTGAGATTTTACCCCTAGGAGACGCACTTTCTAGTTTTGGATCATTAAGTTCATTCCTAGGAGACACACTTCCTAGTTTGATTCATTGAAGNTATGGAGGCAAGGATTAGCCTCATGCAAATATGGAGGCAAGGATTAGCCTCATGCAGATATGGAGGCATGGATTAGCCTCATGCAGGTATGGAGGCAAGTATTAGCCTCATGCAGATATGGAGGCAAGGATTAGCCTCATGCAGGTATGGAGGCAAGGATTAGCCTCATGCAGGTATGGAGGCAAGGATTAGCCTCATGCCGGTATGGAGGCAAGGATTAGCCTCATGCAAATAGAGAGGCAAGGATTGGCCTCATGCAGTTATGGAGGCAAGGATTAGCATCATGCAAATATGGAGGCCAGTTATATTTTTGTTTTAGGTACTTTAGAGATTTTACCCCTAGGAGACGCACTTCCTAGTTTTAGGTCATTCAAGTTTCACCCCTAGGAGACGCACTTCCTAGTTTGAGTCGTTCAAGTTTTACCCCTAAGAGAAGCACTTCCTAGTTTGGTTCATTCAAGTTTCATCCCTAGGAGACGCACTTCCTGGTTTGAGTCATACGAGTTTTATCCTTAGGAGACGCATTTCCTAGTTTGGTTCATTCAAGTTTCATCCCTAGGAAACGCACTTCCTAGTTTGAGCTATTTGAGTTCATCCCTGGGAGATTCACATCCTAGTCAAGTGTTTAGTTTTACTCTCATCATTGCATCAACAACATAGGTGATTTACAGTTTTGCTAACACTCACAAATCTTCCTAGTGCAAACTGGGGCAGAAAATTTTGTTTGTTTTGTTGTTTTGATTGTAGGCACCCGCCTGGAGAACTAGGAAATTCTTTTCAGAGTTAGTTCAAATTTCAAGTCAGTAGCAGGCACCCACCTGAAGAACGAGGGAAGTTATTTCATAATTTAATTTAAGTTAGAAGTAGCAGAAGCTTGCCTCAGGAATGCGAGTCGACAGTTCGAGATGACC